TTGTTGTGTAGTCTACGATGAAGACTTTAGTTGAAATGTTCTCATAAAGCTGCACGTACCCCCATCTCTCACACATTCTTTTTTTTTATTTTTTTATTGTTGGTTCTCCCGGCTTTGATCTTCCCAGTTATAGTTTGTGTCAGTTTATTTCTTGATATGAGCTGACCCGCCCTTGTCTATTGTCTAAAATCTAGGTACAGTAAACACAGTTATCAACACTATTTTCATAAGATTCCGCATATTAAAGAAAATTGTATTGTTATGTGATAATATTGCAAAATATTGTATTAATACGAGATAAGGACCAGTTATTTGGAGAAGAGAGAGGCGGGAGGAGAAGATGAAGAAGAAAAAGATGAAGGCATGGGTTGTATAATTTCTTTGCTAAATTACAAACGTAGATAAAATAATTATTCACCTTAAAGAAAGCATCTGATTCTGCTCGATCCACAGCTTGGTTGTCATCTGCATCAACTCTTTCAAAGAACATTTTCATGATTTCCTTATTGCAGCCGGCCATGGCCAAGGCAGGCAGAAGTAGGAGCAACAGGAACTGATACATGGCTACCAGCAAATTCCAAGATCGCCTGTGAGTAGTAAGAAGTAATATTTTGAAAAAAAAAAAAAAACCCGTGTTGTCTGCGTGTTAAATCAGTACCTATGTAATTGACAAAAGAGACAATGTAATGATGAAATGTGAAGTACGCACAACCGGCTAAAGGAAATTCTGATCTCCTTGTCTTTGAATGTGGTGTTTTGAACTTTCTGTTTGTGGCAGAAATGATTATGAATGCTCTAGAAAAGTCCCTTCTCAGGCAAATGGCGTATACAGTGTGAGGGCAAGGAACTATATCTTTTTGTTTACAGACAAATGGACACACGATGAGTTATGTTATCAACATCGTGCGCCCGGCTCGCTAGCGTAGTTGGCTAAACCGGATTGCGCGGTGACAGGATGACCAACTACTTGTGGTCCGGGTTCACGTCCGGGAGTAGGCAGAAAAGCCACATTTCTCCCAGATTTACGGTATTTATCATGGAATCAAGGCCGAAGGGTTGCGATAACCATAATACCGAGCCTAAGGGTTAACAATTCATAGCTTCTGGATACTAAAAAAAAAAAAAAAATCAGCATCGTGTCGGCCGCAGCACACTGTGGGCTGGTCGACCAGGGTTACACATTAAACAAATATCGTGTCATAAAGGATTGAAACTAAAAACGTTGAAGCCGATAGGAAATTGCTTAGCTTCCGCGCTAATGCAAATGCCAGTAATGTTTTCGATTTGAACATTCTTGAAAATTTCTAAAATATGCTCTTCTGTTTTAGTAGAAATTATGAGGTTATTGTGTACAGTATTATTGGTAAAGAAATCTAGCAAAGTTGCAATAAAGCCAGTCAAGTTTTAGGCCAAATGGCGCTAATTTAAAAACATGACAATATTATCACTAAAAGAACACTGTTTAATGCACTATTTTTACCAACCCTTTGCTATCAATGTCAAACATGGACACTGTATTCAGAAGACACAAGGAAAAGAGTCATGACAGAAATGAAATATTCACTTACTATCTAGGTGTAACAAGGAAAGGTCGAATTACAAACGATGATATCAGGAGGAGAGTCAGCAATCAACTGATACCGAGCTTTATATGTAGACAACAAATGAAATGATTTGGTCATGTTAACAAGACTGGCATCAGACAGGGCACCACAGAGGGCAATGTTATACAGATACAGCGGTAACACACCCAGACGTCATCTATGCAGAATATGGACCTCAGAAATATCAGAGATTCTGAAAAGTACTATACACAAAGCGAACAGAGGGGATCGTTCCAGAGATCACTTTTTGCCCTGACGCTGAGAGGCATCCAGGAATATAAAAAATTATAAAGAAGAAGACTGTATAGTTGCCTCTGTCATGGCGGTTAGTAACATTCTTGAATATCAATGATCGGTCATTCACAGTGTGTGGACAAGCAAAAGATTGTTTCTATGCCCAATCTAATGAAATATATTACTAAAATAAAGATTTACAATGAAAGTTTATGAGACTAGACGAGAAGTGGAGGTAGCTTCACATTATCACGATCATCAATGGCACATTAATTCGCTACTGAACTATAGGCCAGTCATTAGTGGAATGATGGTGCTACTGAACTCATAATGGCCTGACGAAACAGGCCCAATCCAGAACACACAACAGATAGTACGAACCTGTGAGAGCTTACCTCTGTCTGTAATACACACCAGAGCTGGTCTTTGCACTACTTATAACAGTATTCTGCTTTATTCATTAACATTTATTTATTTAGCAGAATAGAGATCACTGAATGGCTAGATAATACGCTCTGATAACAGTCCTTTTTGGTATTATCACGTTTCTCATAACTCTTTCAATACCAAAAATAATTACTCCACGTTATTCTGGTATCATACATTACAACAATACCGCCACCTTTTTTGGACATCAGTGGCTCCTGTACACTTAGTAAAAAAGTAGATATTGGCTATTAAATATGATCTGTGAAGACATCCAAGCATAACTATGAGACATATTATTAATAGCATTTTCATTCCAACATTAAGCTACCAGTGCCAAACATGGACACTATCTAAAGCCCATATACGCAACATTACCACCTGCGAGATGAGGTGCCTGAGAAAAGCAGCCAACCTAACCATATGAGATCGAGTGAATAATGAAACTATCAAGCAAATTGTAGGAACGACACCTTGCACTAGATTCATCGAGAAACAGCAGATCAAGTGGTTTGGCCTCCTCGTAAGAATGCAGCAAGACCAAATACCATCACAAGCACTACATCTGAGAAGATCAACTACAAGAGCAAGAGGACGGCTGCGGAAAACATGGATCGACAATATTAAAGACACTCTACGCCTTCACGGCATGACAATAGCCACTGGCAGCCAACGTGCACTGGATCGCAAATTATTCCTCCCCACGGCGCTTAACGACAGAAGTGGTTTATGATGATGATGATGATAAAATACTATCTGTGATAGGTTGGGAAATACCTTGACAGAATCTACGCACATTCTAGAAATAATTTATGAATACTGCAGTGGAATGTATGATATCAATGACTGTGGCGATATGAATGATATACATGAACCAATGACAGCATAGACAGAAAATGAACCCTCATTAGTTGAAATTGCATGGGCAATTAAGAACCTGTATAATGGTAAATTACCAAGATGTGATGAGATACCAGATGAACTAATTAACGCAAGAGAGAGAAAAAAAGCATACAAATCTATCACACATTATGAAAAAAAGAAATATGGAAATATGGTATATGGTCAAATGATTGAAAGAGAATTATCTTTATTCAAAAAAAAAAAAAAAAAAATGCAACTTCACATTATGCACCAACTGTATAACTGTTGCCCTCATCAGTCATACAAGTAAAATGCTACTAAAAATCAAAATGAGAAAACTTCGTAAGAAAATGAAAGAAGAGATTAACATGGTTTAAGCCGGATAAGACATGCAAGAGGAACAGGAGATAACAGTCACAGCATGCGTTTGATAAAAGAGAAGTCCAGAAAATTTAATGTAATCTTATTATAATGTTTTGTGGATTATTCGATGACATTTGACTGGGTACAACATCAGAAACTTTGGGAAATCGTGAGAAAAATGGGCTTTTTATCACATGTATTACACCTCATAACAATTCTCTATCTAGACCAACAAGCAGCGGTTAGAATAGATGGCGAGACATCAGACTGGTTTGACATTTGACTCCAAACACGTAGTCCGTCAGGGCTGTGTGCTGTCACCGTATTTTTTAACCTGTACATCGAAAATATCATGAGAAATATCAGAGACGATATCACCAGAGAGCAATATGATACCCTAAATATCGGTGGTCAGAAAATACCAGAGATCAGATATACCGAAGATACAGTATTACCAAACACATTGAAAACTGGTATAGAAAACTTAATAACCTCAACTCAAAGAAATAGTGATAATCACAACTGACATTTTAACATAGCAAAAACAAAGATAATACATACAGATAAAACTACCCTGGAGAAAGAAATATATGCTAATGAGGAAAGATTAGAGGTTGTGTGAAAATTTGAATATCCTGGGTCATTGAATACCAACAATGGTGACACGATAAAAGAAATTAAACAACGACTATCAAGTGCTCTTCAAAGACTAAAACAACTGAATTAATTATGGAGTGGGACAAAGAGAACCAAAAAAAAAAAAAAAAAAAATAATTAGATTTTTAAGAGCATGCATCTTTCCCATTGCAACATACACCTGCGAATTCTGGACACTTACTAAAAAAGCTGAACAGCGCATAAATGCTTTTGAATACAAAGGTTATAGACGGGTTCTAAGAATATCATGGGTGAAGAAAAGAACAGATGCAACCATACTTCAACAACTGAATAGCGAAGAAGATTGGCGATTAAAAACTATCAAACACAGAAAATTGAAATATGTTGGTCACTTGAAACGTCACGACAGTTTAGAGAGAACAAAATGGAAGGGTGTATGCCTGGGAAGAGAAGAAGAGAAAGGCCAAAGAGAAGATGGGCTCAGGATGTGGCGGATGATCTCCAGATGGGTGTTTCGGGACATCTTGCTTGTGATCAAGAAGTCTTCCGGAAAGTTGTTTTTCTTTAAAAGACATTATTGTTGAGTACCATCACTTTTTTTTAAATGGGGGGGGGGGGGGGGGGGGGGGGAGAAAGCTTCAGTTTATAAAATAAGAAAGTCTACTATAAATCACTCAGTAGTTAGACCATAATGACTTAAATAACATTGGATCATGGATCATCTTGCAATTGGGATAAAATGGATAAAACGACGGAAAGTCAACAAATAAGTAATCAATGGTTGTTGAAAAAAAATCTAAAGACGACAACAAATTGAAGACCATTTAATTCTACACGTACACTGTCTCTTTATTTTTCAACATAATTTCCACCAACACCTGCTGCATAGAAATGCGTGCTCTGTTTTCTAAACCACATTTTAACTTCACATTTAACTTTTGCGTCATTCGCGAAATGCCTCTCCCTAAGGTGGGTTTTCAGTGAACCAAAAAAGGTGGAAATCGCTACTGGCTAAGTCGGGGTTGTCAGGTAGATGTTCCAGAAGTTTCCACCTAGGGGGTTAATTTTTCTACCGAGTTAACTGAGCATTATATGGTTCTGGCATGGTCACGATGAAGCAGTACTCCTCTAGTCAGTAGGCCTGGACGTTTCTTCAAATTCCATCATGAAGCATCGTTAGAATTTTATAGTATGAATTTGCATTAAATATTGTCCATAAAAAAATAAAAAAAATAAAAATAAAAAAATAAAAAATTGGTTAAAATCACTTTTTGAAAAACCCAATACACTATTAGCAAAACCTTCCCTGTTAATGGCGTAACCTTGAATTTTTAAACACAAGGTGAAGAAGGATGTTTCCATTGAACTGAAGACGCTTTGATTCGGGCTGGTAGTAATGCACTCATGATTCGTCCCCAGTAATAATCTTATTCAGCGTGCCTTTTCCTTTATC